TGGGGGGTCCCAGGGGGGGATTTGGGGGGTCCTGGGGTTTTTTAGGATATTTTTGGGGGGTTATTAGGGTATTTTTTGTAGTTTTTGGGACATTTTTTGTGCTTTTTGGGACATTTTTTTGGGGGGTGTTTCATTTTGAGGAGATTCCCAGGAGGCTTTAATTCATTTTTTGGGGTTCTTACAGCATTTTGGGGGTTTTTAGGGCATTTTTTGGGATTTTTAGGGCATTTTTTGGTTATTTTTTTTTGGATTTTGGGGTATTTTTGGGGGCGTTTTAATTTGGGGGGATTTTTTGGGGGGCGTTCCATTTTGAGGAGATTCCCAGGGGGTTCTCAGGGTATTTTTAGAGGGAATTTAATTAATTTGGGGAGGGGTCTCACCTTTGTTGGCCACCTCGAAGACCCTGGTGGTTTTGGGGATATTTTGTGGGGGTGCTTTTGTGCTTTTTGGGACATTTTTGGGATATTTTCGGGGGGTGTTTCAATTTGAGGAGACTCCCAGGGCCTTTTAATTCATTTTTTAGGGTTTTTAGGGCATTTTTGGGGTTTTTTTTGGGGTATTTTGGGGGGGTCTAGGGCATTTTTTGGTTATTCTTTTAGGATTTTGGGTATTTTTGGGGGCGTTTTATTTCGGGGGGATTTTTTGGGGGGTGTTTCATTTTGAGGAGATTCCCAGGGGGTTTTAATTCATTTTTTGGGGATTTTAGGGCATTTTTTGGGGGGTTAGGGTATTTTTTTTTTGTTTTAGGGCATCTTTTGGGGTTTTAGGGCATTATTTTTTTGGGTTTTGGGTATTTTTTGGGGGGTTTTGGGATAATTTTTTTGGTTTTTAGGCCACTTTTGTGGCTTTTAGGCCATTTTTTTTTACTTTTAGGGCGTTTTTTTGGGCGTTTTTTGGGGTGTTTATCTCGGGGGGGAATCCTGGGGTATTTTTCGGGGGGGTGTTTAATTTGGGGAGGGGTCTCACCTTTGTTGGCCACCTCCCAGGCCACCTCGAAGAGCACGACGTTGTCGGGGGCGCCGGGACCCCCCCAGTCCTCCAGGCCCGGCAGGGAGCTGACGGACACAGAGCGGGCCAGCGGCATCTGGGGACCCCCGAATTGGGGAGGGGGCG